CTCTACCAGTTGTTGGTGAACGGCTTAAAAAAAAAAGAAAAGGACGGAGTGAGGTTGCAATGGCCTTGAATTTACCTGATGTACCGGAACAGCTCAATCGAACCGTGAAGGATCTATGTCATCAATCCTCTCGCCGTGGGCCAGATCGATACGTTAGTTTCGAGTTTAGAGTAATAGAGACAGGTTTGTCACTGTCTTGACACTTTTGGTTAAATTTAATCGTCGAGGCAACCACGCCGCTTGATTTATCTACTTCGTTTAAGATCAACCATGATCTTCCGAACGATTTCTTCTCTGCTCTTTATTTGACACGAGGAAGTTGATGAGTTGTTCGAAACGATGAAATTGGTAAAATATGGTAGGTTGGTTCTCAGTAAAAGTTTCAATCTTATTAATAAGATAATTGATGTTTTGCTGTGTATTTAATCGATATTGAATAAATTTTGTCATATTGAATAAATTCGTGTCAAGTATTCTTAGATATTTGAATTTAGAGAAATTCTTTTAGGAATTATTTGACACGAGAAGGAATTATTTTATAATGAATTAATAAAGCAGTTCTCAGTGAAAATTTCGGTTCTCCTACTAATGGATTATTGCTATATATTTGCCCGGACTTCAATCAATTGATTAAATTTTGCAAAAATTTAGGAGAATCTTTCGGAAAAAATTCGTATCAAGTTACTTTTGGATATTCGAATTTAGGAAAATTCTTTTAAGAAAAATTCACGTAAAGTACTTTCGGATATTTGAATCTTCTTTACTTGACTCTACTGGTACGTCGACACGTGTATTCGAATCGATATTGATTGACCATCGCGAAAGAGGAAACTTCTTGGAGAAACGTATGTGAGATATTTTTAGATATCTGAATCTTGAAAAAAATTGTTCGTTTTCATTTCGAGGATTTACGTATGCAATATACAGTGCGAGATAGATTTTGTTTAGAAATTATTTATGTTAAGTTCTCATGGTTATTAAAAACTTCAGGCTCTTAGTAAGAAAATTGAAAGTTAATAGATTTAGATTCTTGAAAATTTCTTTTATGCCAGATACTTTTTCTTTGATCATTGATAAATGACAATCTTTTGATAGAGAATTGCTCATCGTTTGCCTTAATCGAACCCAATCTTGCCTCAATCTCATCAATGTCTTAAAAGTCATTTCTTTCGGCAAGATAACTTAAATTTTAAAGTATCTTTAAAACCTTAATAATATTCTTTATCATCAGAAGGGTAATATTAATATTAGTATTATTATCAGCAATTTCGTGAGTAATCAAATTATTGTTACATTCATACAGAACTTATTCCATTTTTTATTTATAAATTTATAAAATATCAGCTTGTAATAATTCTAATTAATATTTAGCAATGAAAGTACATTTTATATATCAATAATAAAAAAACAATCGAAATTTGATGAATATGATGCCTTCTAAAACTATATCATAAATAAGTTCGCAAATAAATCTT